TTTTTTGAGATAGGGTCTCACTCTGTCACCCAGGCTGGAGTGCAGTGGTGTGATCTCGTTTCAATGCAACCTCTGCCTCCTGGGTTCAAGTGATTCTGCTGCCTCAGCCTCCCAAGTAGCTGGGATTACAGGCCTGCACCATCACACCTAGCTAATTTTTGTATTTTTAGTAGATTGTATTTTTACAACCTACTAAATTATTATTTATCTGCTAAATTATTAATTATACTAAATTTTCATTTAGTAGATTGTATTTTTAGTTTCACCATGTTGGCCAGACTGGTCTTGAACTCCTGACTTCGAGTGATCTGCCCGCCTTGGCCTCACAATGTGCTGGGATTACAGGCGTGAGCCACCATACCTGGCCTTGTTTTCTCATTTCGAAAATATCTTACCCTTCTTTTTTTGGAAGGGAGAAGCTACATTATCGCTAATACAGTTTTATCATTTTTCTTGCCTTCATCGAAACCTTTAATGGCTCCCCATTGCCTATAGAATGTCTACATTTTGCAGCAAGGTTTATAAAACTCTTTACAACTTGCCCCAGTTTACCTTTTGCTGCCTTATGCCAAAATACTACTACTATATAGTATTATGTGCAGTCTCAGACTATATTTGTTCTTTAAATATACCACACATTTTCACAGCTGTTTTGTTCATGTTATTTCCTCTACCTAGAAGGCTTTTTACTTTGTTCTGGAAAATATATACTTATCCTTCTAGTCTGGCTGAGAGGGACAGTTCTCTATGTAACTTTTCAACTCCCTCTCCCCTGCAAGGCGGTTACCCATTTAATGGTAGAAAACATCTTACTTACATTTTATCTGCTATGTTTTCCATAGGCCTGTGAAATAATAAGTGCTTAGTAAATGTATATTTTAGCATAGAGCAGGGGATGGCAGATTTTTTTCTTAAAGAGCCAGATAGTAAATATTTTCTCTATTATAACTACCCAACTCTGCAATGGTGGTGCAGAGGCAACTGTAGACAATATGTAAATGAGTGGATGTGGCTGTATTCCAATAAAACTTTACTAACAGAAAAATCTGATGGCCAGATTTGGCACATGTGCTGTATTTTGCTGACCAAGGCATAGAGTAAGCAAAGAATATGATGCAAATATTTACTGAATATTTTGTTTACTCTTTTATTGAATTAGGAAGGTATAGATTTAATAATCAGTTTTGCTCTGAAATTTTTATAATTGCTCTTATGGAGTGCTTTTTTTCATGTAAGTATTGGATATGGTTTACTTTAAATAATGGTATATCAGAAGCTAGTAGGGAATTTTTGTTGAATGAACAGTTACTAGTCTGTCTCTAGGGATGATCACTGCTCAAATAAGTCAGATTTTTATTTATTAATTATACCTAGAATGTATCCAAATTATTTTATCAATACAGTAATAAAATAGTCCATCTTGAAATAGTTTTTTAAATTACAGATAATCTTAGAATTAGTCAATAAGTTTGCTTTACTAAGGCAAATACGTCCTTCAGATTTATGTTATTACTATTCCTTTTTCTGTCTCATTAAACACTTTGTTATTAACAAATTCTTTGAAAAATGTTAACTAGCAGGTTTTGGGGAAGTTCAATTCTATGTTTATTGGATGGAGCTTTGCTTCAAAGCATCTGAACTTTTGAGTTATTTTTACTTTTGAGTGAGAATCTAGGGTACATGATTGTGAAGCTAGATTCCGATCTTATTGTATCAAGGATGGTATTTTTTTTGTGTAAGTTAATTTAAATTTTTAAGTTTTTTTCCATTGCCTTCATTCTGAAAATGATACATGAATGTAGCAAGATCACATAAAATTGGAGTCCATGAAAAAATAGTAAAGCAATAGGAAAATACAGATGAGGAAAGATAGAAAACAAAGAAGATGGCAGTATGTAAAAAGGAAGTCCTGTAAGGCATATTTTACTGATGTGTAGTAAGGAAAAGTATATGTGAAATATGTTTAGAATTTAGAGTATGTGTAGAGTTGTTCCAGATGGGCAGCCAGAGAAGGCTGCATGGAGGAAATATTCAGTCTAGTCTTTTTAAAGATGTGAGTATGGAAGCAAAAGAGCCTTCCCACTTCAGACTATGGTGGAGGCATGTAAACCTGTGCAGGACACAGCGTGAACTATGAGAACACTTAATGACTTTCCAAGTGCTGTACAAATATAATGTAATATTGACCAGGATTGAAGTGCCTAAAAGTAAATGACCCAATGAAATTCTTACTGATTTCATGAAACAAATGTTAGGCAATATTTTTGTTTAATTTCTGCGTCCTGTAAATTAATTCTGAGGACTGTGTTTTGGCAGTGACTGTTGAAGTGAAGGGTCCCTATGAATACCTCACGCTTGAAGACTATCCCTTGATGATTGTAAGTGACTTTATATTATTTAACCTCAGTATTGAATGGTTTCGGGTTCGAAGATTGTCCCATATTTTGTGGCAGTATTCTTTTTAATGAATTGTTCCTATGCAATTCAGAAAATGTTGCTTGTAGTCCTGGATTTATTTCTTATTAGACTGGGACTTTGAAAGAGTCAGTATACCCTTGTGTGCCTCATTTTCTTATCCATATAATGAAGGGGTCAGTGACCTGTGGAAATACCTCAAAGGTCATCTCACATTCTCTCTAGGATCCATAGTGGGGCACTTTTTACTACAACTCTGTCGTTTCTGATCCCACTTACATTAACTAAATGAGGCTGGGTACCCTGGCTCATGTCTGTAATCCCAACACTTTGGGAGGCTGAGGCAGGCAGATCACTTGAGGTGAGGAGTTCGAGACCAGCCCGGCCAACGTGGTGAAACCCCGTCTGTACTAAAAATACAAAAACTAGCTGGGTGTGGTGGCAGGTGTCTGTAGTCTTAGCTACTCGGGAATTTGAAGCAGGAGAATTGCTTGAACCCAGGAGGCAGAGGCTGCTGTGAGCCAAGATCGTGCCACTGTACTCCAGCCTGGGCGACAGAGTGAGACTGTCTCAACAACAAAAAATTAGCTAAATGATGAAGCTTCCTTCTCTTCATTTTGTGTGTGTACGTGTGCACATACATGTATGTGTGCATACGTCTGTGTCTCAGAATATCCTTTTCTTTTTTTTGTTTTGTTTTTTGTTTGTTTGAGACAGAGTCTCGCTTTGTTGCCTAGGCTGGAGTAGTGCAATGGCGCGATCTTGGCTCACTGCAACCTCTGCCTCCTGGGTTCATGCCATTCTCCTGCCTCAGCCTCCCAAGTAGCTGGGACTACAGGCGCCCGCCACCACACCCGGCTAATTTTTTGTATTTTTAGTAGAGACGGGGTTTCCCCGTGTTAACCAGGATGGTCTCGATCCCCTGACCTCATGATCCGCCTGCCTCGGCCTCCCAAAGTGCTGGGATTACAGGCATGAGCCACCGCGCCCGGCCTCAGAATATCCTTAATATATTTTTGCTTTCCTTTGTTCATGATTATTCTTTTCTTCCTTTCCCTTTAATCGTTTTCTTATTTTGTTGTGTGTCCTTGCCTCTAGGTGTATCCTAATCATGCCATTTTTCTTCTTCAGTGTTGTCTTCATCTACATAATTTAGATCGTGAGCTGAAATAGCTCCTTCTTTTAAAAAAAAAAAAGAAAGAGAGTCTCACTCTGTCTCCCAGGCTGGAGTGCAGTGGCATGATAATGGATAATGGCTCACTGCAGCCTTAAACTCCAGGCTCAAGCTACCCTCCACCTTAGCCTCTCGAGCAGCTAGAACAACAGGCATGTGCCACTATGCCTGGCTAATTTTTATTTTATTTTATTATTTTTTATCTTGAAACGTAGTCTCACTCTGTCACCCAGACTGGAGTGGAATGACATGATCTCGGCTCACTGCAACCTCCAGCTCCCGGGTTCAAGCGATTCTCCTGCCTCAGCCTCCTGAGTAGCTGGGACTACAGGTGTGAGCCACCATGCCCAGCTAATTTTCATATTTTTAGTAGAGACAGGGTTTCACCATGTTTTGGCCAGGCTGGTATTGAACTCCTAACCTTACGTGATCTGCCCACCTCTGCCTCCCAAAGTGCTGGGATTATAGGTGTGAGCCACCATACCTGGCCTAATTTTTATTTTTTGTAGGGACAGAGTCTTGCTATGTTGCCCAGACTGGCCTTGAACTCATGACCTCAAGCAATCCTCTTGCTTCAGCTTCCCAAGGCACTATTACAGGTGTGAATTACCACGCCTGACCAGAAAAAGCTCTTTTACTATAGGAGAGCAGGCTGAGTGCTCTCTATATATACCATACATGTGTGTATGTGTATAATAGCACCTTTTATATGGTATGCATGTGTGATACATATATATATACACACACACGTTTATGAGAGCATTCGCTCTCGAGGACAAGTTCCTATGTAGTCTTCTCTGCTCAAGACAAGATAATTTTTCATATTAGTTAGTGTTAAGCTCCAAAGGAATAATTATTTTTTAACTAGAAGGTAGAATATGTGTATTTTTATAACTTGTTAAGACTGTATATTGATTCAGGACAGGCACTGTGGCTTATGCCTGTAATCCTAACACTTTGGGAGGCAGAGATGGGAGGATTGCTTGAGCCCAGAAGTTCAAGACCATCCTGGGCAACATAGCAAAACCCCATCTCTTTAAAAAATATATATATATGTAGTATATATACAGACTTGACTCTTGGTTCTAATTCTCCTTTTTATCTTTTACCCAATTTGATAACAGTTTTTCATGGTGATGTGTATTGTATATGTCCTGTTTGGTGTTCTGTGGCTGGCATGGTCTGCCTGCTACTGGAGAGATCTCCTGAGAATTCAGTTTTGGATTGGTGCTGTCATATTCCTGGGAATGCTTGAGAAAGCTGTCTTCTATGCAGAATTTCAGAATATCCGATACAAAGGAGAATCTGGTAAGTAACCAAAAAATCTTTGCCGGTTCGAGTGGTTGGAAGCTGAGATGTGTGAAAATATTCCTAAGGTCAGCAGTCACTAAACAGGCTTAACTTTTCAATTACTTAATTATTGCAATAACTTAAGCAGAATCACTATGATTCTGACTTTTGTTTTTAATCTTATGAGTTCAGTGATGTAAGAGTAATTTTACTGAAATATGCTCACAAAAGTCACAACAGTAGTGGCCACTTTGGGAGTAATTATTAACATCATCAAATCTCAATTTCCATTGATTTCTAAGGCACCATTATCCATCTGAGAAAGTAAACGGTGTCAATTTAATTGTAAAATGTCATTGATTGTAAGACACACCTTGATTTAAAAAACCTCAAAATGTGGTGGGAAAGTGCATCTAATTGATAAAATATAGTCATCTCAAGAAAATAGGAGGGTGCTTATGGTTTAGTAAGGTGAACTGGTAATGACAGAAGTTGTTTTATACTGTAGTTTTTTGTGATTGCTTTGGTTTTTTTCTTGTCAGACCATTTAATTTAGTCATAATCATTATTGTGAGATAAACTGATAAGATTTTCCCTGGTCCTTGAAAGGTCTTAAAAATAGTAGATCTGAAAATGAGTTAAACTATACATGCCAACAAGTGTGTACACGAGTGTGTTTTATGCTTTTCTATGTGTAGCTGTATTTCACAGTTTTTAAAAATGGGGGAAGTTGTCTTGATGCTACAAACTCTCCATATAGGGTGAGATATTCTGTTAAAGTTTTAGTGAATTTGGGGGCAGGTGGGGGAGGGAGCTGAGTTGAGCATACTCGGATTGCCATACATACACATGAGTAAGATTGTGAGTGGTATCAGCTTGTATACTGTAAAAGCTGCAGAAGAGGTATTTATTTTAGCAGGACTAATATCAATGCTTACTCTGAAGAGTGTAGAAATCAGCAGTCTAGTATTGGCATCTTGCCTGTTGCCAAACTTAGGTTATGGTGCCATTTCTCCCCTTCTTTTTCATAGTCCAGGGTGCTTTGATCCTTGCAGAGCTGCTTTCAGCAGTGAAACGCTCACTGGCTCGAACCCTGGTCATCATAGTCAGTCTGGGATATGGCATCGTCAAGTAAGTATTAACTTCCTGTATGGAAGAGCAAATTTAAATGCTGATTAAATTAAAACAGTACTGCATGTTCCCGATGTAGTAGTTCTGAAATAGTTGATAAAAGAAATAATTCTGGCCGGGTGCGGTGGTTCACGCCTGTAATGCCAGCACTTTGGGAGGCCGAATCACGAGGTCAGGAGATCGAGATCATCCTGGCTAACATGATGAAACCCGGTCTCTACTAAAAATACAAAAAATTAGCTGGGCGTGGTGGCAGGCGCCTGTAGTCCCAGCTACTCCGGAGGCTGAGGCAGGAGAATGGCGTGAACCCGGAAGGCGGAGCTTGCAGTGAGCCAGGGTCGTGCCACTGCACTCCAGCCTGGGCAACACAGTGAGACTCCGACTCAAAAAAAAAAAAAAAAGAATTCTGAAACAAGAAAGGTATCTGAAATTTTGTAGCCTTGTAAATGTTGGGAAAATGTTAGTGTTTCATTTCACTTCCTAAGAGGAGCATCTGCAGGAAAACTTAGAACAAGTAAGATTGAAACACCAGGCTTTTATAGTAAACTTACAGTGACTTTATACTTCCAAAATATTTTTTGCAAATTAGATTTTTTATGAGAAACTCATTCTTGCTGTAACTGAAAATATTTTTCTATCCAAAAAATTTTATTTGTATTGAGTGTCTTCTCTAGGCATTCTTCGAGGCATTGTTCCAGGCCCTGGGGATATAGCAAGTAAACAGAAGATTTTGAGCTTACATTTGTGGAGGGAGGGGACAAAGACAAAATTTAAGTGAGTAAAATATTTTAATATGTCAGTGAAAAGTGCAGTGGAGCAGGTAATGCCGGAGCTAGAGCTTGCAGTTGTATATAGGGTGATCAAGGAGGGCTTCACTTAATAACATTTAAGCAGAGACTTCAAGGAGGTGAGGAAGCTATATGTATACCCAAGGGAAGAGATGCTGAGTAGAGATCAGATTCTATATATATTTTTGAAGGTGGAACCAGTGGAATTTGCTGATGGATCAGATGTGTGATGTGAAAGAGAAGAGGAATTAAGGATGATGCCAACTGTTTTGATCTGATCACATGGCAGGATGGAATTGAAGATTTACTGAGTTCAGGAAGACCTTAGGTGAAATAAGTGTGGAGCAGGGGCAAGATTGGAGTTCAGTTAGGTAACTAGGTAGGGGAAACAAAGGGGAGAGGTTGGGGCAGAGATAAAAGTTTGGGAGTCATGAAGATACAGATGTTATTTAAAGTCACGAGGGCCAGGCATGGTGGCTCATGCCTGTAATCCTAACACTTTGGGAGGCCAAGGCGGGCAGATTGCCTGAGGTCAGGGGTTCAAGACCAGCCTGGACAACACAGTGAAACCCTGTGTCTACTAAAATACAAAAAATTAGCCGGATATGGTGGCATGCACCTATAGTCCCAGCTACTTGGGAGGCTGAGGCAAGAGAATCGCTTGAATCCTGGAGGTGGAGATTGCAGTGAGCCAAGATCACGCCACTACACTCTAGCCTGGGTAACAGAGCGAGACTCTGTCTCCAAAAATAAATAAATAAATAAATAAATAAATAAATAAATAAGGTCATGAGACTGGATTTGGTCACCAAGTAAGTGAGTATATATAGAGAAGAGGTCCAAGGGCTGGGCCCTTGAATATTTAATATTATTTAGAAGTCTGTAAGATGAAGTAGTTAGCAGAAGAAATTGAGGAGTGACCAGTGAGGTGGGTAGAAAACTGAAGAATGTGTTTCAAGGAGGATGTGATTGTGTCAAGCGATCCTGATAGGTCAAGTGAGAATTGGCCATTGAGTTTACCTACATGGAGGGTCGTAGTGACCATCACAGGAATAGTTTTGGTGAAGTGATAGGTACAAAAGCCCAACTGGGGAGAGTTCCAGAGAGAATAGGAGGAGAGGAATTAGAATAATTGTATAGACAATTATTTAAAGGAATTTTGCTTTAAGTGGGATTAAGTGATGCTATAGCTATAGCATCACTTTATAGTGCTTAAGTAGGATTGAGGTTAGTTGTTTTAAGTTTGTTTATTCATTTAAAGGAGTTTTGCTTTAAATGGGATTAGAGATATGGGGAATTTTAATTCTTAAAACTTATTTATTTGACAATTATTTGAGTGCCTCCTATATGCCAGGAAGTATTCTAGGTTTCCAAGATGAATGGGGAGAAAATTCCCTGCTCCTACGGAGTTTTCCCCAATGTATAACAAAAAATGTAAGAACAAATATTGGTAAGGCCTATGCAGACATGATTTAAGGCAGCGCATCTTAAACTACACTACACTAAGGAATCACCTAAGGATTTTGTTAACATGTGGATTCTGGTTGTGTAGGATTTTGAATCTCAAGGATGTAAGATTTTTTCTCCTTCAAACAGAAGTTCCTCAGAAGACTTTTCATATATTAGGTTTCAAGCTTGCAAATATACTATTTAGTGAACTGTAATCGGATATTTGATTACATTAAGGAATTGTTAGAATTTTTAGATTTGATAGTGGTATTTTGGTGGTGTTTTTTAACAGTTTCTTTTGTGGGCCGGGCACAGTGGCTCATGCCTGTAATCCCAGCCCTTGGGGAGGCCAATGCAGGAGAATCACTTCATCTTAGGAGTTCTAGACCAGCCTGAACAACACAGTGAGACCTTGTCTCTACAAAACATTTAAAATAATAAAAAATTAGCCGGGTGTAGTAGGACTTCCCTGTAGTCCTCAGCTACTCAGGAGGCTGAGGTGGGAGGGTTGCTTGAGCCCAGGAGTTCACGGCTGCAGTGAGTTGTGACTGTGCTGCTGTACTTCAGCGTGGGCGACAGAGTCAGACTCTGTTTCTTTAGGAGAAAAAAAAGAAAGGCCCTTTTATAGCCATTGAAATACCAAGGAAAAATAAAGTCCTCATTTATTAAAAACATACTGAAATATATCGAAGATATACTGTCTAGGATTTGCATCAAGAGAATATGAAAGGGTGGAAAGTGGATGGGGTATGCATGGGACAGAATTAACCATAGGTTGGTGGTGGTTGGACCTCAGTGAAGGGTTTATAAGGGTGCATTATACTACTTGTGAATATGCTTCAAAACTTTCCAAGGAAACATTTTATAAAACGTGGTAACCAGACACCAGATCTTAAGTTGTAGTGTTCCCTGTCTTGTTTTAAGACCATAAGTTCTTAGTTTTTTTCTCTTAGGTGATTCAAATGTATATTGTTTATTGCTTTAAATTGTTGGTCTATATTAGTTAACACAAGTTCCTGTTACTTAGCTTGTTTTGGGATTTGTCCCATATGTACTCAAATATCTCTTTGCTTCCTCTTTAGGCCACGCCTTGGAGTCACTCTTCATAAGGTTGTAGTAGCAGGAGCCCTCTATCTTTTGTTCTCTGGCATGGAAGGGGTCCTCAGAGTTACTGGGGTTAGTACTGCTTAATCTCATTTTCTGTGGTCAGTTCAATTATATTGTTTACATCTTGACAGTGTGAGTCGGAAATGTCTGTGGTCTTCTTTCTGTTTGCTTTATGTCACTTTTGGGCTCTGATTCTCAAAATATATGTATAGTTCATGTTTTCTTTTTAATCTATTAGAGCTTTGTAAATTTAATGTGTGCCCGGGATGAATGCTTTTCCACCTGTCTCCAAATTGGTAATTGTTTTAGTTCCTCCTCCCAAGCAGTGGACTTGCATTTTTTTTTTCTAATCGATGGAATCTAGACTGAAATTCTTGTATAAATGGCAGACTTTGGAGTCATGCATTTACTAGTTAATCTAATCTAAAGTAACTGTTGTTTCTTAATCAACATTGGAGTTTCAAAAACTTCCTTAAAATGCAGCTGATGAGGCCTGGTGTGTGGCTCACGCCTGTAATCCCAGCACTTTGGGAGGCCAAGGCGGGCGGATCACGAGGTCAGGAGATCGAGACCATCCTGGCTAACAAGGTGAAACCCTGTCTCTACTAAAAAGAAATACAAAAAATCAGCCGGGCGTGGTGGTGGGCACCTGTAGTCCCAGCTACTTGGGAGGCTGAGGCAGGAGAGTGGCGTGAACCCAGGAGGCGGAGCTTGCAGTGAGCCGAGATCATGCTGCTGCACTCCAGCCTGGGCGATGGAGCAAGTCTCCATCTCAAAAAAAAAATGTAGCTAATGAAGTTTCACACCATTTTTGAGAATTGTAAAATTATTCCCTTTGCCAGGGAAGGAAACCAAAGCACTGAGATACAAGTGATAAAGAAATTTATGGCTGGGAGCAGTGGTGGGCGCCTGTAGTCCTGGCTTCTTAGGAGGCTGAGGTGGAAGGACTGATTGAGTTCAGGCTGCAGTGAGCCATGATTGTGCCATTACACTCCAGCAACAGAGTGTTACCTCTTCCTTAAAAAAGAGAAGAAATTTATGTTACCACTGGATTAATACGAAGAAGTAGGGTTCTCTAGGCCATTTTAATTAATTTTCTTTTTTTTTTTTTTTTTTGAGACGGAGTCTCGCTCTGTCACCCAGGCTGGAGTGCAGTGGCCGGATCTCAGCTCACTGCAAGCTCCGCCTCCCGGATTCACTCCATTCTCCTGCCTCAGCCTCCTGAGTAGCTGGGACTACAAGTGCCCGCCACCACGCCTGGCTAATTTTTTGTATTTTTAGTAGAGACGGGGTTTCACCGTGTTAGCCAGGATGGTCTTGATCTCCTGACCTCGTGATCCGCCCACCTCGGCCTCCCAAAGTGCTGGGATTACAGGCTTGAGCCACCACACCCGGCAATTTTCTTATTTTTTAAAAAAGGTCAGACTCCGCAGCAACCTATTAGATTCAATATTGCAAATACTATAAACTTGGCTTTGCCCACAAGAAAAGTGGGCTCCATATGTTTTGCAATAAATTGCCTCGTAAATAAAACACTTTGTGGATGCAAATTTACTTTTCAAATCACACTGTCCTCTGTGTGTAATTTCTTAGACTTTTAGCAACTTTAACCCTCTGTTAATTTCATTTTCTTTCTTCTGCTGTTGCTATAGTATTTTTCTTATCCCTTGACTCTGATAGTAAACCTGGCCCTCTCAGCAATTGATGCCTGTGTTATTTTATGGATATCCTTTCAATAATGCCTGTTGATCGGGTAATTAGGGTTATATAAAAAACATACTCTATATAAACTCCTGGAAACATGCAGCGTAGTTTTTCAGACAGATAATTGCCTTACATTTTATTTTGGGGTGAACTCTTATTTGTAAAATCTTGTATTACAGTTTTGGAAATTAATAATTCTTTGTATATGATGCAGCAATATTTTGTAAATATGAGAAAAGTCTTTTCAGACTTGTAGCCAAAATCACAATGATAGGAAATGATAGGTTAAGGATGGGACTTAAAAACATTAGGACTTTTTTGGAGTATGGTCACTTGTTAACATGGATCTTTATATATGAAAAACTTGTAGTTAGCAGTATGTTTCAAGATTGTAACTAACAATTTATGTGAAATGCTAATAGCCGTATATTCTACGTGATGGTTTATAAGAAGGGAAGAATGATTAGGTGTCAAGTGTTCTTTTTATTTTCTTTATGCAAAAACATTCCGGTGATTATGTAAATGCAGAATCATGTGGTGGTTCTTCTCTGTGCCTCTCTAGACATCTGTTTTTCACCACTTCTTTTTCTTTGTCTGCAGGCCCAGACTGATCTTGCTTCCTTGGCCTTTATCCCCTTGGCTTTCCTAGACACTGCCTTGTGCTGGTGGATATCCTTCTCATTGGCTTGTTTGATGACGGTCCATTTTCTCCCCTTGGAGATGGGTTTCCGTTGATCTTTCTGCAAAGAGTTTTTATCAGTTTTGTTGATTACTCCTTAGCGTGGGGAATAGTGCATGCTAAGTCTTAACAACTTGAGGGTTCAGGTAAGCAGTTTATTTGTTTTTATTTTTTTAATTTTAAAAATCAAATTGGAAATTGGTGACTGTGGACCGAGCTCAAGATAAAAGCTTTTGGCTTTTTTCTTTTAAATGAGCATTTCGTCTTGATTTTGCACTTGTTATTTGTATACCTAATCATTTAGTGTTAGAATCACTGGCTGTGCTGGTCCTGCTCTGCCTTTTAGTCTCTAGCAATTCTTAAATGCTTTGAAACTTATAAAATGATTTTGATCCTTAAAATTTGATTTCAGGAACTATGTGACGTGCTTTGACTCTTCTGAAACTCTGTGTAGGTTCAGTAGGTTTTAACCTTCATGGAGTGAGTGTTTTGTTGCCTCATTCAAAAGCTGACTTGGAATTGTTTGAAGATTTCCACCCTTTAGAATAAATAATTGGTTCATTTACAGGCAGAGTCAACCAGCAGATAACAAACAAGCTTCTATTTGAGCAATCTTATTCTCCTGCTCTTTAAAATTAAATTTATTTATTAGGGACTTGGCTTGATGGCTAAAGGATTCAAGTTTTTGGACTTTATCTTATATTGAATTTGTTTTGGTTATTATATATTTGGTCCTATTTGCAGTTTTCATTATTACTGACCTGATAGATTGTGATTGTTGAAAAACTGTGAATGTAAACAAAATTGTTTTGTGAATTTGAGTGGGTTGTCATATAAGAGTTTTCAAAAGTGTCCTCAGTCTAAATAGCCAAAGCTTTTCTAGATTAATATCTTTCCAAGTGTTTTGTGAACCTCTACAAGCATTGAGAGAAGAGGGAGGTGGGAATGGATTGTGCAGTAAGATAACCCAATGACTAGGTAACAGCTAAGGCTCTGTAAGAGCAGAGCAAATGTCAAATCTCTTATTTTTGTATCTGCTTCTCATTCTGAAAATTGAGCCAGGTGCAGTGGCTCATGCCTGTAATCGCAGGACTTTGGGAGGCTGAGGTGGGCAGATTGCTTTAAGCTCAGGAGTTTGAGACCAGCCTGGGCAACATGGCAAAGCCCTATCTCTACAACAAATACAAAAATTAGTCGAGCATGGGGGCTTGCACCTGTAGTCCCAGCTGCTGGGGAGGCTGAAGCAGGAGAATTGCTTGAGCCCTGGAAGCGGAGGTTGCAGTGAGCCAAGATCACACCACTGCACTCCAGCCTGAGTGACAGAGTGAGACCCTGAGACCCTGTCTCAAAAATAAAAGAAAATTGAACCTGAGAGCAGATACTATTTTTAGTACTCACCAATTCCCCTCCTGTTTTTCTCTGGCAACTTACTACTTGAGAATAATGTTCTGAAAATGGAGAGTCATTGCTTTTGGAAGCAAACATATGAGCTTCTCAACCAGTTGTAAGGTCCTTTTAATTCAGGATAGTGCAGGCAACTGATGGCAAGTTCCTTAAGATGGCATGAGGGGACTGAGTATAGATCTCTGGGATATTATAGGCATGAGTGTAATGATGACCCTCGACTAGATTTGCTGGACAGATGAGAACAGAGCTACCCACCTTAAAGGGAGAGAGAAGATGATGTTAACTCTCTGTCCCTTGCCTATTACTCATGTTCACTTTATCTTCTGCCATTTCCCTTTCTATTTATTTTCTTTTTTTGTTTCTCTAGAAAGCCTCTTCCTGTCTTTCTCTTTTTTATATTTTTTTCTCTTGTGATTTTGTACGTTCTTACTTTATCCTGGTCTGTCTCCTGTTTAATGTCTCATTGAAAATGATGACTTTCGACCAGGTATGGTGGCTCATGCCTGTAATGCCAGCGCTTTGGGAAGCCAAGGCAGGAGGATCAGTTGAGGCCAGGAGTTTAAGACCAGCCTGAGCCACATAGCGAGACCTTATCTCTACAAAAAAAATTAAAAATTTGCCGGGCTTGGTGGCGCATGCCTGTAGTCCCAGCTGCTCGGGAGGCTGAGGTGGGAGGATTGCTTGAGCCTCAGTGGTGGGCAAGGCTACAGTGAGCCGTGATTGTGCCACTGCACTCTAGCCTGGGCTAGACCCTGCCTCACCAAAAAAAAAAAAGGGAAAAGAAAAGAAAATGACGACTTTCTTATTAATCTTGAGGTGTTTGTGAGATTAAGTGAGAATAAGAGAGCTATAAGGCCTCTGAGAGATCTATAAGTTTATTAGCATGACCCCAGATCCTCAAAGAAACCTGAAAACTACTTGGCTAGCTTACTGTTTTTTCCTGAATGTTGAATTCCTTGACCTGCAAACACATATTTATTAGCCTGACTCAAACAATGAAGCTATTAAAACTTCGGAGGAACATTGTAAAACTCTCTTTGTATCGGCATTTCACCAACACGCTTATTTTGGCAGTGGCAGGTAAGTCTGGGACTTTCTTCTTGGAGTTCAAATGTGATCTGTTTAGAATGGAGATTCTTAACCTGAAAGGCCATGGGTAGGCATAGAAAGTTTTGTATATTTCACTTGGAAAAGGATTCTTAGCTCTTGTCAAATTCTCAGAAGGATCTGTGGTTTTAAAGAAGTTGAGAACTATTTATTTTTTCGTACAGTAGCTGGAAATCAACCTCATATTTCAGTTCTTCATTTATCCCTCTTCTATTTGCATTCTTTCTTGAGGCATTCTTTGTCTTGAGGTTAGTTAGCTTAAGTGCCAGAGAGTGCTCCTTTTAGAAGACATTACCACATGTTTGTTTAATTTTATTAAGTAGTTGTAGAATTTTAGATTAGGGTACATTGCTATTATAGTGCTTTTCCATATGTCAGCAAGCCTATGTAAGAAATTGAGATTAGATGGACTGTAACCAAACTAGGCTAATTTGCCTACCTCATTACCCTTGTACCAGGAATAGTGAGGTCTGATTTATGATTGGAACTAGCTCTTCTGCTTGTGTTACAGTCGTTTTATCAGCCATTTTTTTTTTTTCATCTGACCAGCCAAAGAAGAATTAGCATTACTATACTAGGGATAAAAGGAGAAAAAAATGATGTTGATAATGCTGGAAGGAGCTATATTTCCAATACCTTATTTTCCAACCACGATGGTTACTGATGTAGTAGATGGCAAATAAAATTATTACCAAATTATCCTTTAAATACAGAAAGGATTGGCCAGAGTATGTATCATGAGCCTTGCTGATAGCAGGTATACAGTACATTTGTATTGAATACACTTGTTAAAATAACTCATAGAATTGTGATGTATTTGGTAGTTTGGGGTGTGTGGGATTCCACTTAACCAGAAATGGGGGAATGTAACTGGGGATGTAAACCAGCATTCATACTCTGACCTGGTTTTTCATTTACCGTTAGCGTCTATTGTGTTTATCATCTGGACAACCATGAAGTTCAGAATAGTGACATGTCAGTCGGTGAGTTATAAGCACATTTATGAATAATGTACTGTCTTATAAACAACTGATGATGTTGATGACAGTAGTAAGGTTCTTCTGAGTTACATACCTTATAAAAAACTAGGTCTCTACTCTGAGGGTTGTAATACTTCCCTCCTCCTAAGTATTCTGTACTATCATGGTGCTTGGTATAGTAGATAGTTTTTTGTTTATCTGACTGTATTCTCCCAGTTTTGGGAGAGAATTTTTTAAGTTATAACTACAGTATGCTACAACCCAGTCTTACTTTAACTAAAAATCTTAAGAAGTCCAGAGTACTAAATATTAAGTACCATATGTGTAAATAATACTAACCTGAATAGAAGCCACGTCCTTAAGATCTGAGCTCAAAGACTGTGGCCAATAGGATTTCTTTAGAAGCAGCTAAGGCTCTATTTTGTTAAAAATAAATAAATAAATGAAAATGAAAATTATAAACTATACCAACCTAATGTAACTTTCCCTTACCCTGTATAAGGTAACTTTCTCTTACCCTGTATAAAACCCTTTCTTAAAGCTTCTCAGAGGGATGATGAAGCTTTGACAAATACTCTGTTCTGTTGATGCATTTTCTTTAACAACAGTAAGCACTACAAGGGCAAAAACTACATTCATTCACTTTGTTTCCCCACCCTTACCACAGTATTAAGCACATAGCAGGCTCTTAGTAAACATAACTTGAATGAACAAATACGTGATTTTTGTTCTGTGCCAAAGGCTTTATGAACAAGGGGTTAAGATAAGGTTTATAAATGTTGTACTTCTCCCCCGTATTGTAGGACTGGCGGGAGCTGTGGGTAGACGATGCCATCTGGCGCTTGCTGTTCTCCATGATCCTCTTTGTCATCATGGTTCTGTGGCGACCGTCTGCAAACAACCAGAGGTTCTTGGACTCTTCTGTTTACTCTGCTAACATGAGATGACCATGTCATCAACTAGGGGTGGTGCATTGGGAGACAGTATCAGGGCTGTGTCATATAGTGGAAGGAACACTGGGCCTGGAATCAGAAGAACTGGGTTCCTATCTCAGCTCTCCTCTTAACTTCACGATTTTTGGCATGTGGCCTCTCTACCTCTCTGGCCTTAGTAGTTCCCTTTCTATATAATGAGGGGGAATTAAACCCAGCAACATGAAGTTCCTTTCAGCTCTGACATTTTGTGATAAATACACAGGCATGCTATGGAGATAAATTGCAAGTTTGGTTTCAGACCATCACAAAGCAGATACTGAGTTACATGCATTTTTTGTTTTTTCCAGGGCATATCAAAGTTATGTTTACACTATTCTATAGTCTACTATGTATGCAATAGCATTATGTCTAAAAAATGTACACACCTTAATTTAAAAACACTTTATTGTTAAAAAAAAAAAAGAAAGAAAGAAAATGCTGACACAGGGGCTGGGCGTGCTGGCTCACGCCTGTAATTCCAGCACTTTGGGAGGCCGAGGCAGTCGGATCACCTGAGGTCAGGAGTTCGAGATCAGCCTGACAACTGTGGTGGAACCCCGTCTCTACTAAAAATACAAACATTAGCTGGGTGTGGAGGTGGATGCCTGTAATGCCAGCTACTTGGGCACCTGAGGCAGGAGAATCGCTTAAACCTGGGAGGCAGAGGTTGCAGTGAGCCGAGATCATGCCACTGCACAGCATAAGTGACAGAGCGAGACTCCATCTCAAAAAAAAAAAAAAAAAATGCTGACACACAAAGTGAGCACATTACTGTTAGAAAATGGCACCAATGGACTTCCTTGATGCAGGATTGCCACAGAATCTGGGAAGCACAATAAAATGAAACACCATAAAACCGAGTATGCCTGTAAGTATTTGTATAGTAAACAAGGGAGATAGATATATCATCTGTTGTGTCAACTGGGCACGGTGGCTCATGCCTGTAATCCCAGCACTTTGGGAGGCCAAGGTGTCAAATCACATGAATCCAGGAGTTTGAGACCAGCTTGACCAACATGGCAAAACCCCACGTCTAGTAAAACTACAAAAATTAACCGAGCATGGCAGTGCATACCTCTAATCCCAGCTACTCCGGAGGCCGAGGCACAAGAATCGCTTGAACCCGGAAGCGGAGGTTGCAGTGAGGCGAGATGGCACCACTGCACTCCAGCCTGGGTGACAGAGTGAGACTCTGTCTCAAAGAAAAAAAAAGATGTAATTGTGTCACTTATACTGAGTCTCTCCTGTCTAGTGTCTAGAAGGAAAGAAAACTTCTGTAACCAGCAGCCCAGCTCACTTTGTAATGATAGAAAGGGTAAAATTAAAACTTACATAACCAGCTTTGAAATTAAAAATCTATGTGTAAATTTGATTTGTCCAACTATAGGCAAATTTCAGACATTTAGGAACTGCCTATCTTTATTTTGTGAATATGCCTTTTTTCTCTCTTTTCCCCCCTCATTTGCATTTAGACGGTTAAGAGCTTATATTAAACACCCATACCACCAAAGAAGGAAAGGGTAACATGGTATAAACGACTAATTTTATAACCAGACTTACCAGTGAAAGATTGAGATAGAAAATAGGTGAAATCCTTTTACCCGATGAAAATGGCCTTGCTGTCATTTCAAACTATGCACTTTATATGTGTTTATCAAAAAAAGTCAAAGAATAGAGAAAAGTCATGAAAGAAAATAAAGAAGATCTGAAATCACACTATTGAGAAAGAACTTTTACATTCTGGAGACGCTTCTTTTATATCCGTCTGTTGATCTACTGGTTACTCACTAGCTGTATTTGTATTTAAATATTTTCCCTTCCTCAGTCATTAAAAAATTTTTGCATTACCTTTTATTTTTTCTCCCCTTTTCTTTTAAAACATTGCCCCCTTTCTCCGTGACTTCAGTATTAACTGTATGTTATAATGTGTCTTTTCCCTGTTCACTTATGGAATCTTCCATTACTTTTGTAACAGTACATTGTGGACATTCCTTCCAGTGTAACAGGTTTAATTGAACTCATTCATTTTCATGGATAGCATAAATATGGGACATGTGTAGTACAGTTACATTAACATATTCTCTTATTATTGGGCATTTGGGATATTTCCAGTTTGAGGTGTGTCAGGGTCCTCAAGACCACCCTAATGTTCAGCAATTTACTGGAAGGCCTCATGGGACGCAGCATACAGTTATGCTTACAGTTAAGGTGTATTACGACAAAATGGTGATAGCAGGTCTGTCTAGGGAAATCTGTATGTTCTTTCCTTGTGTTCTGTCTCTCTTCTGAGGAAGTACATCAAGTCAGTTCTTTTCCCCAGCAACAAAAATGTAGTAACACATTGTTTCTGTCCAGGAAAGCCCATTGATGTTCAGCACTCAAGATTTTTATTGGAATGTATTACCTCCTCCCAGCCAAATATGTGACAGTATGCACAGACTACTGCCAACGAGGGAAACTGATTTGAGCTTTCAATGTCCAGAGTTTTTACTGGGGCTCAATCACATACTGTCTCTGTTGCTGACTTTTAGTTTCCAACCCCTCCTGGCAGTCAGGCTGAAACCATTTCCTCTGGAGGTCAAAACTGATACGGCATGGCCCAAAGCCCCTATCATAAACCATACTGTTAGACTGTCGGCCAAAGTCCCCAGGCAAATAAAGACAGGACATTTTATGGGTGTAGAGATAACCTCACATTAGTCAATGAAGGTTAATTTCTCACTACACACTGGCACATACTCAAGAAATACTTAATGAGTGGGCTTGGATTTGCTAGATTGAAGGATATGTGTATTTGTAATTTTTAAAGTATTTTCAGATTATGTTCCCGAAAGAAACCTGAAGGAAATTTCATATTTAATAACAATGGTATGAAAGGGTTTTTTTCTTCCCTCTTTTTATGTCCTATCATTTTATTTAATTTTTGCAGATTTGGTGGATGAGAATTAATATTGTTACTTTTTGCATTTAAGGTTGGGTCTTTAGCTTATTTTTTATTGACTTATTGATCATTGTCTCTGTCCATTTTCTGCTGCTATAACAAAATACCACAGACTGTTTATAATGAACAGAAATTTGTTGGCTAGCAGTGTCAGCATCTGGTGAGGGCCTTTTTACTGGGTCATCACATGACAGAAGGTGGAAGGGCAAAAGGGAGAGCCCACTCCAGAAAACCCTTTATATGACAGCATTAATTCATTCATGAGAGTGGAGCCCTCATGACCTAAATGCTTTCCATTAGGCCCAACTCCCAACACTGTCACACTGGGAATTAGGTTTCAACATGAGTTTTGGAGGGGACAGACACTCAGACTGTAACAATCACTTATGTATTGATTCGTAGGAATTTATTTATTTTGAGATGGGGTCTCGCTCTGAAGCCAAGGCTGGAGTGTAGTGGAGCAACCTTGGCTCACTACAACCTCCACCTCCTGGGCTCAAATGATCCTCCCACCTCAGCCTCCCGAGTAGCTGGGACCACAGGTGTGCACCACCACACTGGGCTAATCTTTCTATTTTTTGTAGAGATGGGGTTTTACCATGTGCCCAGGCTTGTTTCAAACTCCTGAGCTCCAGCGATCCACCTACCTTGGCCTCCCAAAACGCTGGGATTACAGGCGTGAGCCACCATACCAGGCCCAATTTGTAGGAATTTCTAATATATTTTGTATGCCAATATTTTGTTTGTTCTAAGTATTGCATATATTTTCTGCCAGTTAATTATCTTTTGATTTTTTAATGCTGTTTTCAATCATACAAAGTCTCAGAAATACAGAGTTAGTTTTTCCCTTCAAGGATTGTACATTTTGCTCTTATTTTGGCAAATTCTTATCTAGCCTAAGGTGAGGTCAAAAAATTATTCTCTAATGACTTTTTAAAAATTTCACAATCAGGCCGGGCATGGTGGCTCATGCCTGTAATCCCAGCACTTTGGGAGGCTGAGGCGGCGGGTGGATAACCTGAGGTCAGGAGTTTGAGACCAGCCTGATCAACATGATGAAACCTCATCTCTACTAAAAATGACAAAAATTAGCTGGACGTGGTGGTGGGCACCTGTCATCCCAGCTACTTGGGAGACTGAGACAGCAGAGTCGCTTGAACCCAGGAGGCAGAGGTTGCAGTGAGCTGAAATTGTGCCATTGCACTCTAGCCTGGGCAACACGAGCAAAACTTCGTCTCAAAAAAAAAAAAAAAAAAATCACAAGATGTTCATGCACCAAGAATTACTTGATTCTAGGCTCTCTACTCTCTTGTGTTCTGGTCCTGCATCAGTAGCACACTGTCTGAATTACCCTAGGCTTCTGATAAATCGTGGTATCTGGAGGGCCTGAACCTCTAATCATATTTATAAGTGTAGGCTTAGCTGCATACTATCTGGCTCTTTTAAAAATAGCTTTTGGGCTGGGCGCAGTGGCTCACGCCTATAATCCCAGCACTTTGGGAGGCCGAAGTGGGAGGATCACCTGAGGTCGGGAGTTCGAGACCAGTCTGACCAACTAGAGAAACCCCGTCTCTACTAAAAATACCAAATTAGTTGGGTGTGATGGCGCATGCCTGTAATCCCACCTATTTGGGAGACTGAGGCGGGAGAGTTGCTTGAACCCGGGAAGGGGAGGTTGCAGTGAACTGAGATCACACCATTGCACTCTAGCCTGGGCAACAAGAGTGAAACTCCTTCTCAAAAAAAAAAAAAAAAAAGCCTTTAGCCAGGTGTGATGGCTCACACCTGTCATTCCAGCACTTTGGGAGGCCTGACTGGGAGGATTGCTTGAACCCGGGAGTTTGAGACCAGCCCTGGCAATATAGCAAGATCCCATTTCTACCAAAAAAAAAATTGTTTTAGGTTAGCTGGGCATGGTAGTGCATGCCTGTAATCCCAGCTACTAGGGAGGCTGAGTTGGGAGGATTACTGGAACCTAGGATGTTGAGGCTGCAATGAGCCATGGTCATACCACTGCACTCCAGCCTGGGCAATGGAGCGAGACCCTGTCTCAAAAAAATGTTTGAAAAGCCTTTGGTGTTAAATTTTTGCCCTTTATTTTAAAAATGTTTTTATTTTAGATGGGGTCTTGCTGTGTTGCCTAGGCTAGACTCAAACTCCTGGGCTCAAGGGATCCTCCTACCTCAGCCTCCTCGGTAGCTGAGACTAATGGTACATGTCACTACACTCAGCTTTTGTTTTTTAATAAAAAAAATTTAGATTGTTTAATTCTAGGAAAACCTATTAAGATTTTGATTGGAACTTAATTGAATTAATGAATTAGGGAGATTATATATTTTTGATAATTCCTTGACTGTGGCATCTCTCCATTTTTTAGTCCTTCAATTATGTTTTGTAACTTCTGATTTAAATTTTTGTGGCTCTTACGAATGCAACCTTTAAAAATATATACAGCTTTTCCAAATATGTGGGAATGCTGTTGCCTCCCCCCCCGCGCCGCCCCGTCTCTCTCTGTCTCTGTCTCCTTTCTTTCTTTTCTTGACGGAGTCTTGCTCTGTCACCCAGGCTGGAGTGCAGTGGTGCAGTCTTGGCTCACTGCAACTTCTGCTCCTCGGGGTCGAGGGATTCTCCTGCTTCAGCCTCCTGAGTAGCTGGGATTATAGGCACCTGCCACCGTGCCCAGCTAATTTTTGTACTTTTAGTAGAGACGGGGATTCACCATGTAGGCCAGGCTGGTCTCAAACTCCTGACCTCAAGTGATCCATCCTCCTCAGCCTCCCAAAGTGCTGGGATTACAGGCGTGAGCCACCATGTCCGGTTCGCTTTTTTAATGTATATCATACCCAGCAACCCTCCTGTTACATTGTTAGTTCTGATAATTTCCACATTTTCTTTTCAGATAGATTTTTGTCTAAAGTAATCATTACAAGCTGCTTTCTTGCCAGATAATCTTCTGCCTCAATTTTGATTCTTATTAGCTTGGCTAAGCCCTCCTGTATAATATTGAATAGAGTCAATGCCAATGGGCCCTCTTATCTTACTCTGACATTAAATGCTTCTCAAATATCATCAACTATGATATTTACCATGGAATTTGTTACCCATTAACAAGTTATAGATGTTCCCTTCTATTCCTAGTTTATTAAGAATTTTTATCATGAAAGGGAGTTTTAAAAGCAAGGTAGAATGAAAGTGGTAACAATAAAATGGGAAGTATAGAGTGAGGTCAAAGCTAAAGCATTCAGCCGGGTGCGGTGGCTCATGCCTGTAATCCCAGCACTTTGGGAGACTGAGGCAGGCAGATCATGAGGTCAGGAGATCGAGACCATCCTGGCTAACACGGTGAAACCCCGTCTCTACTAAAAATACAAAAAAATTAGCCGGGTGTGGTGGCGGGCACCTGTAGTCCCAGCTCCTCAGGAAGCTGAGGCAGGGGAATGACGTGAACCCAGGAGGCGGAGCTTGCAGTGAGCCAAGATCATGTCACTGCACTCCAGCCTGGGCAACAGAGCAAGACTCCATCTCAAAAAAATAATAATAATAAATAAATAAAAGCTAAAACATTCTAGGAATTACGTGTCTGGGAGCTGCTTTGCTGAATCTCTTGGAAGTTGTAAAGGAAAGGCATCTGAGATATACCAGATCAGACCTTCATCTTCTGAGCTTCCCACTTGTAGGCTGAAATTTTAAATTACCTGGAATAGGCCTCCCTTCTCTTAACTCCCAATTTGAAGGCTGCGATTTTAAATTAGATGAGAATTTACCTAATTCTATTTGATACATATCCTTATGAATGAACATTTGTTGACTGCCTACTAAATGACACAGGTATTGTTCTAAGCACTTTATTTGTAATGACTGACTTTTACAAAACACCCCTATTAGTAGTGTTCTGTTATCCCCTTATTTACAGATGAGGAAACTGGGTATAGAGAGATTAAGTAACTAGTCTAATGTCACAGGTAGTATTCAGCAGAGCCTGCACTCATAAATATGATACTGTCCTGCTTCTCCCTTGCTATTATAGGCAATTAAGAGCTTTCTGAAGGGGAAGAAGTTTTATTATTAAACTGATTTAATGAGTTACTATAATTGCAGTTTCAATAATTAGTTTTGTAAAATGCAACTGGTATAGCAGTTTTTGAAGTTTTCTAATTTTTTCCTTGTGTTAGGTTTGCCTTTTCACCATTGTCTGAGGAAGAGGAGGAAGATGAACAAAAGGAACCTATGCTGAAAGAAAGCTTTGGTAGTCATAAAATTCACGTCTCATTAGTACTTTAAATATTTTTTTCTATAAGTACATTGTTTATCATTTTGTAACTATGTTGTTCCTATATTTGGTATGGGATGAAGTTAGGGTAAAGAAAATAAGGGTGTGACTCTTAAGATGAAGCCATAGTAAATTCAGTAAGTAATTGCACATTAAGTATCCATTTTACTTGCTAGAAGTGAGCTAAAAATTTTGCTTTGAACTTCCCAGCATACATGTAAAGATGGAGAAACATCTGTTGTATACTTCACAAGTATTAGAAAGCTTAAACTAACCTTGGGGCTTTTAATTTAAAAAAAGAAAAAAAAAAAGTTCTGAATCCATTTTGCCATCATTGTCAGTCTGTTCACAAAGTTAACCAGTGTACGTTTATTTTCTTCTACAGAGGGAATGAAAATGAGAAGCACCAAACAAGAACCCAATGGAAATAGTAAAGTTAACAAAGCAGTAAGTATGACTTTTCCACTCGTCTTTGTTCTTTGCCCCATTTTCCAATCCTCAGTAGAACTACTAGAAGAAAACAGGAGGCAAGTTCATGACATTGGTCTTGGCAGTGATTTTTTTTCTGTATGACCCCAAAAGCACAGGGAACAAAGCAAAAATAGAGAAGTGAGAGTACATCAAACTATAAAGCTTCTGCACAGCAAAGGAAACAGTTAACAAAGTGAAAAGGCAACCTACAGAATGGGAGAAAACATTTGCAAACATTGCATCTGTTAAGGGGTTAATATCCAATTTATATAAGGAACTCAGTAGCAAGAAAACGAATAGCCCAGTTTAAAAATGGGCAGTGAACCTGAATATACATTTCTTAACATAAGACCTACAAATGGCCAACAAGTATATGAAAAAATTTTCGTCATTACTAATCCTGAGGGAAATGCAAATGAAAACTACAATGAGATAACACCTCACAACTGTTTGAATGGCATTTATCAAAATGAAGAAATAACAAGTGTTGGCAAGGACATGGAAAAAAGGGAACCCTTGCACACTGTTGATAGGAATGTGAGTTAGTATAGCCATTATGGAAAATAGTATGGAGGTTCTTCAAAATTAAAAATAGAACTACCTTATGATCCAGCATTCATATCACTGGGTATATACTGAAATGAAATGAAATCAGTATGTCAAAGAGATACTTGCACTGTCATGTTCATTGCAGCATTAATCACAGTAGCCAAGATACAGAATCAACCTGCATGTCCATCAATAGATGAATGGATAAGGAAAAGGTGGTGTATTTCAATATACAGTGGAATACTATTTAGACTCAGAAGAGAAGGAAATCTTGTCATTCGCAACAGTGTGAAGAAGGCTGGAAGATATTACGTGAAATAAAATAAGCCAGGCACAGAAAGACAAATACCACATGATCTCACTTACGTCGAATCTAAAAAAGTTGAATTCCTAGAAGCAGAGGGTTGAGTGGTAGTTACCGGGGCTGTGGGAGAACTGGGGAGATGTTGGTCAAAGGGATTTTTAAAAATGTTTTTAAAAATTAAAATATTTGACTTTTCTGTCAGCAGTCCCATTTGTGAATGTACTGCTACAGAATTAAGAAAGACAAGATTTAAGGCCTTTATATCCTTACTTGAGATGTATTATGTGGTGCATTTTAGTAACGAGTGGTATTTGTATGTTCCCAGCAGGAAGATGATTTGAAGTGGGTAGAAGAGAATGTTCCTTCTTCTGTGACAGATGTGTAAGTTTTTGAATGATTATCACAAGAATCCTGTTTCAAAGTTAGTACTATGTTGTTATTTTAAATGAGCAAGTTATGCTCATGAAAATACAAGATACTGAAAAATAATTAAAAGAATAGGAATAATCTGCAAACAAAATTAATTGGGTTTATTCATTTAGATGACATTTCTGCTTAGAAAGATTTAGCTATGTAGTAGATCTTAAAATGAATGGGATACTCCTTTTGAAATTTTTTAGTTCCTTTCCTGGGCTATAATTTTAATGAAACATTGGTCCTGTCGCATTGCAAAATACGTTTTTTTTTTGCTGTACAATTTCTGTAACTGTTGCTTATTGTATTTGCTGTTTATTTTCCCTACAAGGGCCATTAATAAAAAGCATATCTTAGATAATTATAAAAAAGCTTTAAATTGCATTATTCCAATGTCTTTTATGAACCATTTATGGCTTTATTCTACATTGTTCAATTCAGTGTCTCCTTCTCTCTGCAGAGCACTTCCAGCCCTTCTGGATTCAGATGAGGTTGGTACTCAATTCACATGCATAAATTGTGTATATGGTGACGGAATAGAAAGTCATGAATCCTCTGTTCATGGAGATTCTCTTTATTTGACTCAGTAGTGGCCTGAAAACTGTAGTTTATATAGTTGAAAAGGATAAGAATAGAAATACTAATAGAGTTCAAACATTCAAGAATCTTTCCTTTCTTTGCATCTGTCTATGCATGTTTCACTTTTCAAAGTTACACGGTCAGACTTGAGAATGTTTTTGTTTAAATTGGATACAGTACTCTCCACCATCTAGTTCTTTTGTCTGTAAGAAATGCAAATTTAACCCTAATCTAATATTGGCAAAAATAATAAGGAAAAATATTGAGAAAGGAATATAGTAGACCAAAACAAAATCTAAATTTTTACCTACTATTTCATAATATTTATGTCACTACCTTCTTCAGATAGTAAGGATTATAATTAGTACCTCTAATATTTATGTTTTTAATCTTTTACTTGGCCTCCATACAGTTAATCTAGAAGGCTTCACATGAAGTCTTATGTTAGGATTGTGGGCCAGGTATAGTGGCTCATGCCTGTAATCCCAGCACTTTGGGAGGCCAAGGCAGGAGGATCACTTTAGGTCAGGAGCTTGACACCAGCCTGGGCAACATGGTGAAACCTCATCTCTACAAAACATACAAAAATTAGCCAGAGATGGTGGCATACACCTGTAGTCTCAGCTACTTGGGAGGTGAAGTGGGAGGATCACTTGAGTCCTGGAGGCAGAAGTTGCAGTGAGCTGAGATCATGCCACTCCAGCCTGGACAAAAGAGTGAGACCCCATCTCAAAGAAAAAAAAAAAAAAGAATTGTGGCCTGAGTTCATGGAAACTAGTTCTGGACATGTTCTGGATATTAGGTCATTATAGAATTTTTGTTTGTTTTTGTTTTTTTTTCAGGAAGCCTTTTGGAAGCATCTTGTCTGATTCTGATTCATTGTGTTGAATTGGCTGCTAAAAATGATTTGTTCATTTCTCACTGACATGATATTTGATACAGCATGTACAGTATCAAATTCCTTAGCTGTTCTATGCATTGAAATAATTGAGAACTCTACCATTCAGATTTGAACCTATCTGCCAAACACTTTGCTTTCTGCGGTATATTCTACTGTTCTCACATCTCCCTCTTGAGGTCTTCCTCTGCTAATTAGTTGCCTTTAGGGCTTCCCTTTGACTTCAGCTCTCCATGAGCTGCTATAAGCAGAGAAGGCTGATTAAGTGAAACCTGATTGTGCCCTTCATGGGAATGCAAGTTTGCTATAGTAATTTGGTGGCACTGAGTTCAGCCATCTGTTCATATTTTCCTCTGTGAAAACACTGTGCAAGAGTTTGCAAGTATACATAAGGCTTTCTTGTGGCAAGAAAACATAATGATATCTACCCTCTTAACAATTCCTTTAGTGTACATTACAGTATTGTTAGGTATGAGCACAATGTTGTACAGCAGATCTCTAGAACATTTTCATCTCGTTTAACTGAAATTTTATGCCTGTTGAATAGCAACTCTTCCTTTCTCCCTCCCTCAGCCCCTGGCATCTACCGTTCTTCTTTCTGCCTTTGAGTTCTATTTTAGATAACTCATAGAAGTGGAATCATGCAGTATTTGTCCTCCTGTGGCTTGCTTATTTCACTTAGCATAATGTCTTCAAGATTTATCTAAGTTGTAGCACGTGTCAGAATTTCCTTCCTTTTTAAGGGTGACAAGTATTCCATTGTATATATGTAACATGTTATCGTCATCCATTTATCTGTCAGTGGACACTTAGGTTATTTCTATACCTTGGCTATTGTGAATAATGTTGCAGTGAACATGGGAGTGCACATTTCTCTTTGAGATCCTGCTTCATTTCTTTTAGGTATATATGCAGAAGTGGGATTACTGGATTATATGGTAGTTTTTTTTTTTTAATTTTTTGAGTAGCTTTCATACTGTTTTCCATAGTGATTGCACCATTTTACATTTCCACCAGCGAGGCACAGGGGTTCCAATTTCTTTCTTCGCCAATATTTGTTATTTTTTGTTTTTTGATAATGGCCATCCTAACAGGTGTGAGGTGACACCTTGTGGTTTTGGTTTGTATTTCTCTGATGATTAGTTATGATGAGCATTTTTTAATATACCTGTCAGCCATTTGGAAGCCCTCTTTTGAGAAATGTCTCTTCCAGTCCCTGTCCCAGTTTCTAATCAGGTTAGTTGATTTTTTTTGCTGTTGAATTGTAGGGGTTTCTTATATATTTTGGATATTAATCCTTATCAGAAACAGTCCTATGCCACATTTCAGTCAGCAACAGACCACATATATGACAGTGGTCCCATAAAATAATAGTGTATTTTTACTGTACCTTTTCAATGTTTGGATATCTTTAGGTACCCAAATACTTACCATTGTATTCCAGTTGCCTTTGGTATTCAGTACAGTAACATGCTGTATAGGTTTTTAGCCTAGAGCAATAGGTTTATACCATATAGCCGAGGTATGTAGTAGGCTATATAACATCTAGATTTGTGTAAGTATATTCTGTGAAGTTCACACAACTATGAAATTGCCTAATGACACAGTTCTTAGAATGTATCCCTGTCATTAAGTGATACATGACTGTATGTGGTATGCAAATATTTTCTCCAATTCTGTAGGTTGCCTTTCGTTCTGTTGTGTACTTCCCTTGCTCTGCAGAAGCTTTTTAGTTTGATGTAGTCCCATTGGTCTGTTTTGCTCTTGTTGTTTTGTGCTTTTGGTGTCATAGCCAATAAATCACTGCCAAGACCAATTTCAAGAAACTTAGGTTGTCTTCTAGGAGTTTTGTGGTTTACAGATCTTATGTCTAATTCTTTCATCTATTTTGACTTGGCTAAGTCTTTAATCTATTTTGAATTGATTTTTGTGTATCATGAAGATGAGTTACTTTCATTCTTTCTCATGTGAATATCTAGTTTTTCCAGCACCATTTGTTGAGGAAACTATCAGTTTCCCCACTGTGCAGTGTTGTCTGTCTTTTCGAAGATCAGTTGACCATATATGTGTAGTTTTATTTCTGGGCTTTCTATTTTGTTCCACTTGGTCATAGTGTATGATTCTTTTAATGTGCCGTTGAATTCTGTTTTCCAGTGTTTTGTTGAAGATTTTTGCGTCTGTGCTCATCAGGGATATTGGCCTGTCGTTTTCTCTTCTTGTCATGTCTTTGGCTTTGGCATTAGGGTAATGCTGGCCTCATAGAATAAGTTTGGAAGATCCTTCCAAATACATTTTTTCCTCTTGAATTTTTTTGAAAGAGCTTAAGAAGGATTAGTGTTACTTTGTCTTTAAATACTTGGTAGGACTCAACTAAAGAAGCCATCTGGTCCTGGGCTGCTTTTTTGTTGGGGTGTTTTTGATTACTGATGGAATCTTCTTTCTTGTTGTAGGTCTTACCAGGTTGTGTTTTTTCTTCCACCCCCACACCCCCGATTTTCTATTCTTTGATGATTCAGTCTTGGTAGGTTGTGTACTTCTAGGAACTATGTATTTTGCTCTAGGTTATCCAATTTGTTGGCATACTTTTTAAAATGTTTTGTATGTTTTTGTTGAAATTCTTACTTTGTTCATGCATTGTTCTCCTGAGTTTGTTGAAATCTTCATGCTAGTTATTTTGCATTCTCTTTCAAATAATTCCTATACTTCTGTTTCATCGGGGTTGGTTTCCAGAGATTTATCTTCCTTTGTTTGGGCCATGTTTCTCTGATTCTCCATTTTCCTTAATTCCTTGTGTTGGTTTCAGTGCATTAGAAAAAAACAGTTACCTTTCCAGTGTTCATGGACTGGCATTGTACAGGAGAACACCCTCACCAGTCATCCTGCATGGAGATTCTGAGGACCTCTCTAACCCACTCTGTATTATATCTTTTCTGGACTTCTGCATATATATTCCCAATCAGAGGGATTTGCTGGGTTTTTCCCTCCCCAGGAATTTATAATCTCTTGCTCCCTTTTGTGTTCATCTGCTGTATCATGGGTCTCCTGGAGCCAGTGGCATAGCCCAGCTCTTTTTTATTTATACTGACCCCAGGCACCTAAAGTATACTGGTCCCATCTGTGCTTCAAACCATTCCCTACAGAAAGTATTCCCTCGGGTAACCTCTTACAAAGTTGGAACATTTTCACAGTCCAACTCTCCTCCCTAGGGAAAAGCTGGGATTTGGGGATGTTGGGGATTCTAACTGCTTACTCTGCACTGAGCTGGGGGAGGGGCTGTGGTGCGCTCATACTTGCTAGTCCAAACTTCCACTTTTGATTTCAGCAACTTCCAACCTGGGCCCTTTGTTGTTAGCTCTCGGATTCAGGCAAGACAGAAAACAGTCTCTTGTGCAGGTTCCAGAAAAGTCAGAATGTTGGGTGTACATTCCAGTCATTTCCTTCCCTCTCCAAAGAGAAGCTGGGAGCTGAGGGTTTCCACCCTATCATGTGGTACTGTACTGGGTCCATGGGAAGGGAAGAATTATGGCAAGAGGGTGCCTCAGACTCTTCTGCTGACTTTGATACAGCTGGTTTCATGCTCTCCGATAGTGCAGAAGACTCTCAGCTGGTTTCTGGATTTCTCACAAAGGGAATTTTTCCATGTGTTACTGAATCAGTGTGTCTTAGGGGGAAGGAGGGTCCAGGACTTCCTGTTCTGTCATCTTGCTGACATCACTTTCTCCAAGGCCTTTTTTTCACTTAAAACTGAAAAAGAACTTAAATGAATTACAGGAGAAACAATATACATGATGGACCAGGAATCAAAATGGCATAAGGCTCTTCAACAACATCTTTGGAAGCCAGAACAAAGCCTTTGAATTATTTTCAACCTAGAATTCTGTACTCAACTAAACTATCCTTATGAGGGTAAAATAAAGATGTTTCCAGCCACACAAGAAGTAAAATAATTGATGTCCTATATGCAGTTTCTGAGGAAAGCAGTAGAAAATGTTCTCCACAAAAATGAGGAAGCTAAGAAAAAGACTTGGGATCTAGGAAATAAAGGGTCCAACACAGACAAGAAAAATTCCCAGTCTGATGTAAGAAATTCTCAGGTTGGCAGCTGGGCAACAGGCTTGGATGGAGTAGAGAACAGAGAGCATTGGAAAGGATATTTTTAAGAAAAAGGGAAACATCTATAGATTATCTGATGTGATTGATTATATTCAAAAAGGATTTGTAGTTCTGTCGGTTTGTGATACAACAGTGAGAGGTACTTAGCAAATGAAGCAGAAGAAAAATGAAAATTAACTCTAAGGTATAAAATTGCCTAAGAAGGGAAATTTAATGGTAGTGCATTAATTATTTTAATTGAAATGGGATACTGTAAATACTATATTAAATTAAATGTAATTTTATTTTTTACATGATTTATTAAAATTGTAGTAAAAAACACATAAGAAATCTACCCTCCTAACCATTCTAAAGTGCAAAGTGTTAACTATGTGCACATCTTTGCCCTCATCCTTCACTGGGTCTTCAAGTTAAATTCCTGAATTAGAGGAAGTACACATTTTTATTAAAGCCTAATCTTATGTAAATATTTGTTTAGTCATCTTAACTGACTCTATACATTTCCTTCTGAGTGCTGATTTGCTGTCCAGAAGCCTAGAGCTTTTGATTTAGTTGTTCTTGGGTGAGGTCTGGACATCTGTAGGTTCAAAATCTTCATAAATGTTTAGGAACCATTTCTCTAAACATTTAATTAACATAAACAAGTACTCGTGGAAGATGTTTGCTTGGATAGTCTATATAGAAGCTATTTGGAATATAGATCAGTTTAACCTAATATACTTAAACCTTTTTTGTCCCTAGGAACGAATGATCACACACTTTGAAAGGTCCAAAATGGAGTAAGGAATGGGAAGATTTGCAGTTAAAGATGGCTCCTATCAGGGAAGAGATCAGCATCTGTGTCAGTCTTCTGTACGGCTCCATGGGATTGAAGGAAGCAATGACATCCTGATCTGTTCCTTGATCTTTGGGCATTGGAGTTGGCAAGAGGTGTCAGAACAAAGAGAACATCTTACTGAAAACAAGTTCATAAGATGAGAAAAATCTGCAAGCTTCATATTTACAACACTGATGCCCCCTTTCCTCCCAGACTCTGACTGGATGTTCATGCAACTTAAATGTGTTGTTCCTGAACTTTCTGTAATGTTTCATTTTTTTAATCTGACAAACTAAAAAGTTTAACGTCTTCTAAAGGACTGTCATCAACACCATAATATGTAATCTCCAGGAGCAACTGCCTGTAATTTTTATTTATTTAGGGAGTTACATAGGTGATGGGGGAAATTGTTAACTACCTTTAATTTTCCTGGGAAGTCAAGGTTACATCTCGCAGAGGTTGTTTTGAGAAAAAAGGGCCCTTCTGAGTTAAGGAGCCATAATTCTGTGAGTGATCAAAAGAAAGAAAAAAGAAACTGTTACAGTATGATTCAGATCATTTAAAAAAGCAAAATCAAGTGCAATTTTGTTTACAAATGGTGTATATTAAAGATTTTTCTATTTCAGATGTACTTTAAAGAGAAATATTAGCTTAACTCTTTTGACATCTGCTATTGTGACACATCCCATTGCTGGCAATGTGGTGCACACTCCGAAACTTTTAACTACTGTTTTGTAAGCCTCCAAGGGTGGCATTGCAGGGTCCTAGGCAATGTTTTGCTTGCCTTTATGCAGAGAGGTGCTCCAAGTGCTGTGATTGAGCACCATGCTAGAGGAACTGTAATGCTTCAGAAGTGGTAGCTTATACAAAGGAAACAGGTCCTGCTGGCTTAATTTAAACAGTTATTGCATGAAGTAATGTGGAGGCCCTGGACTGCTGCTCATTCTTTAGGATGGACTGTTCTGGTATCTGGTATTGGTTTAGAGCCTGTTTATAAGGGACATCACAAGGTGATGGGATTCATTTGAAGCACTCTATTTCTGTTTTAATGGTTTTATTCAATTTTGCCTTCCCAAGATTTTTGTTCTACATAAAAAGTTCATGCCACTTTTTAATATAAAAAATTTAACAAAATTAATGGATTTTTCTCATTTTTTTCAAACTTTTTCTGAAGACCGTTTCTCTCAAACTTATGAAACATTTCCTTCCATGGCTTTTATTCTAGATTATCTTGTTTTCTGTTAAAACCAATGACCACATGACCACAATCTTCACTAACTCATACTACAGTGAAAGTGTTAACCCTTAGATAGTTTCTCTACAACTCTTTGCTATGGTGATTTTAAAAAAAGTTTCCTGGGAAGTATCTCTGAGGAACTGCAGTCTGAAGAACTGACTATATTCTCATGCTAATTCATTAGCCAAAGGCTGGTGGTATTATTGCATGCTGCTATTGCATATTAAAACTTAGCAGATGAATAATAGTTGTAATGCAGCAAGATAGTTGGTCAAATTATTTTTTTAGGCTGGTTTGATGTTGACTTGAGACTAGGAAAAAAAAAAACAAAAAAAACCCTTGTGTTAAGCAGGAGTGTATAGTACAAATTCTATAGCTTGGGCCCTGATAATTCTGCTTACAGCTCTCTGTATTACTGGGAGTGGATATAGTGTGTCATTTCTTAGGACAGGTTCAGAAGAAATTTATAGCTTTACACTAATCTGTAAAACAATATAAACCTTAGGGTTTTGGGCCTGAACGAAAAGGTACTAGACCTTCTTCCAGCACAACAGCTGGTAATTCTAAATTTTTAAGAAGGTGATCAGCCTCTATGGTGAAAATCAGCTGTAACACAGGATTTGTTTAGCAATTTTTGTGTTTATGACTACTTGAAAGTGTGCTTTCACTTGATTATCAGAACAGCATTTGTTAAGATGGGACAAGTATTCCTAGTTTACATATGAAGAAATTGATAACTGTGTAAAAATAAAATGACCAGGACCAGTTTTTTTGGCTTCATATCATAGACTTACTCTTTTTCTTTTACATTTTTGCTTTAAACCCAAATGCTTAATTTTTTGACCTATCTGATGTTTTCCTAGGGGGAAATTACCAGATATAGATCATTCTTGCAGCTCAAACTAAGTTTTGTTGTTTTTTAAGTCTTCAAGGGGAATACTAAGGTAACCTCAGACAGTACAGGTCCCGGGTCCTGTAGGAGGAAGAGCCATGACACCTTCCTAAAAGGAATATTAGGATGTAAGACACAACTTGGGAAAGTTGAATTGGTAGGAATGTGATCATCAAATTAAAAGGAGGCTTATTTCACTCCCTTTCAAGAGTTAGTGAATCATCTGTTGCCTAAACTCTTGCTACTCAAAATGTGATCCAGGGACGAGCAACATCTGGGAGATTTTTGATGCTCAATTGAGGGTCTTACTCTGGTCCTACTGAATCAAAAGAGGCATTTTAACACTGTCTCTAGGTGATTTGTATGCACATTAAATTTGAAAAGCATTGGCCTCAAATGGTTCTCAGGGTGATTTTGCCTTCCAGAGGACATACAGCAAAGAGACATTTTTATACCTCTGTAGGGAAGATACTGGCATCTGGTGGGTGGAGGTTAAGGATACTGTTAAACACCTTACATTGCACAGAACATGCCCCCTCCCCCAACAAGAAATTATCCTGTCCTAAAGGTGGGTAGTGGTACCACTGAACAACCCTAGCCTAAGATGGTGGTTCTCAAGCTTTTAAATGCATGGACTCACCTTGGGGTTTATTAAAACATAGATTACTGTTCCTTCCAGAGTTTCAGATTCAGTAGAACTGGGATGGGCCTGAAACTTTGCATTTCTAACAAGTTCACAGGTGCTGCTGCTACTGCTGTTCTTGCTGGTCTAGAACAACCATGAAAGCATAAAGGTAAGGTGCTTGTACTAATTGGGATATAATGGTAATACTAAAGCTACCATTTATTGAGAGCTTAGTGTGTGTCAGGTGTTGCTAAGCGCTCACGATACTGGATCACAGGTATTTACACAAATCATTTTGCAGATTAGGAAAGTATGGCATCGAAATATTAAATTTTCTAAATCACAGCGAATTTCCTAATTGGTAGAGCTCCGTCTGAGGTCTGACGCCAAAGGCCGAGTTTTTAACCATCACACCCATTGCCTAAAACAGTTCTAAGATTAACAGTTTGTTCCTTCTATGGTAAGCCCATGGCTACTCGGGACAGAGTGGCTCTGGGTCAGAGTGACAATGGCAACTCAGCAACAAGTCAATTCCTTGACAGTGCACCGGGAGGAAGGGGCGGGACTTCGGCTGCGGAAGGGGCGGGCCTAACCAGCAGGAAGTCCGGGGTTGACGATGGCTGTGTTGTTGAAGGGGCTGTAGCTGGGGGGCATCCTGGCCGGATCCCGGTCTACTCTTAGCCCAGCCTCGTTCCGGACCCCAACCCGGCCCGGAACACTGTGGGCGAGACGGCGGTGGCGACTCTCCCCTTGCCGCCATGCACGACGCTTTCGAGCCAGTGCCGATCCTAGAAAAGCTGCCTCTTCAAATCGACTGTCTCGCTGCCTGGGGTGAGCCGAGGGGCCGCGGGGCCGAGGCGGAGTCAGCACGGGAGCGGCCCGGATCTTTTCTGAGGCCGGGGAAGTGGACAGGCGTTCATCCATGTGGGCTTCGGTTGGATGCTACCCGAGAGGGGCTTGGGATGAGAGAAAGCAGAGAGATGACCACCGGCTGTAGACATCGATGTCTATGGGGCTGCTTGGGTGATCCCAGTGATCCAGTCATTTAGGGGAGTTCCCCTTGCTCTTGCTGCCTGTGCAGAGTGAGAGGATGAGCTTTCCTTTTTAATTGTGCTCAGCTTTAGCCCGTTTTGATTCCCAAGAAGTCTTCATTTTAGAGGGCCAAAGCAGTAAGAAGTTCTCAGCCTGCCAGGGGCTTGAAGTTGTCCAGATGTTTGTGTTGTTTTCTAGATGAAAGTCAACCCTGGTTTTGGGGGCATAGAACAAGTTAACACCATATGCTATTTTTTCCCTATAGTGATCACTCGTTCACTTCTCATTCCTGTAGGGAACTCATGTAGTTAGCTAACCTTTGAGTCTAGCCAAGTGGTTGATTACCTTATATCCAAAGTGTCCAAGTTACCTAACTCTGTAGGCGGAAGAGTTTCCAGACTGTCATGAAACCTAATCCATAAAAACTAGCATAGTCCTTTTGGGATTGACTGGTGCAGAAGGCAGGGACAGACATCTCTTGTGTGCTCTGAAATACAAATGAAGGTTTCAGGGATAACGGTGAACATTGTGCTCTTAACTATGAGTGACTGGTTTGATACCAGCCCCCAAAGACCAAGGAGATCATTTCTAACTTTCCTCCTAATATTTAGGTCCTAGAAATCAAGGACCATAAAAAGATGATTCAGATCCCTTAATCAGATCTTATACTGGGCTACATAGGTAACCATGATGGGCCTCATGGAATCTTGGTGTGTCTGATATTATGTGCATCAGCTGTTCACAGTGTCACCGAGTCATCCTTGCAGAGTTCTTCATGACTTCTTCTGTAGGGTCCTTTCATGAAGAATTTTCATGTTAATGTGCACCCTTCCTCCTTTAGCAGCTCTGGGTCTCTTTAAAATCACACCTCCACAGTAAGCAGTTCTAGTCCTTTGGGTCAAGAGGAGAATCCTATTTCCTCCAGACATCTCAAGAAAACCAATTTCTGTCATTAAATGCTCTCATTAAACATTTAAATAGAGGAGGAGAAAGTTTTTAAATGAAAGACGTGACGCTGCATGAAGGGATTAATTCCCCCATTGCTTCATCAGATATACATATTAGGTGCCTACATGGGCCATTCTCTTTGCTAGGGACAGTAATACAATGATGAATAAGAAACGGTGCCTGTGCTCCTAGGACACACATTGGGGGGATAAAGACATGTGAACAGATTATGATACTAGAGACGTATGCTGCCTATTATTGCAACATGGATGAGGGGGTACCCAACTCAGCTAAGGACATGTTTCTGAAAGGGATTAAGGATTAATGCAGCTGTTGCCACACTTGACTTAGCCCGTCAGAATCCTTGACTCCGATCTCCTGTTGGACCATTAGCACATAGTGCTCCTAGACTCTCAGTAACTCCACTTTGTCACAGTAAAAATTCCTTGCACCTGTGGTTTTCAGGAACACAGTTTTGAAATGATAGGTAGCTTTTGGCCTTCCTTGATCACCCACCAAACAGGAGAAATGCTCTTTGCTTCCTAAGGTGCTTTGATACACATTAGGTTACAAGAGGCCATTAACTGCCTCCTGCTTCAAAAGTGCTTTATTTCCAGATTTGAGCAGCAGTAATTATTGCTGTTTCTAGTCATTACCCCTTTTTAACTACATTGTGCCTTTGGATGCAAAGTTCGTCCAGGAATTTCCAGAGGCAGGTCACACAGGGCCAAATAATATTTAAGGTGTAAATGTCTTAGAGACAACATACTCTGTCTCCTAGGAAATAGAAATCAGGGGGGCTGGGCGTGGTGGCGCATGCCTGTAATCCCAGCACTTTGGGAGGCCGAGGCAGGCGGATCACGAGGTCAGGAGATCGAGACCATCCTGGCTAACATGGTGAAACCCTGTCTCTACTAAAAATATAAAAAATTAGCCGGGCGTGGTGGCAGACGCCTGTAGTCCCAGCTACTTGGGAGGCTGAGGCAGGAGAATGGCGTGAACCCAGGAGGCGGAGCTTGCAGTGAGCTGAGATCGCACCACTGCACTCCAGCCTGGGCAACAGAGCGAGACTCCATCTCAAAAAAAAAAAGGGAAATCAGGGGAACATGATGAGGGTGATTTCTTTCTAAACTCCAAATATGTATAATCCTGCTGCCTTTTCAGCATCTTCATTTGGATGTCTCATAGCATAACCAAAACAGTTCTTGATTCCTCTCCCCTCAAACATGCCTGTCCTCCTGTATCTTACATCTCAGCAAGTGGCATTTCTATTTACCTCTTTGACTAAGGCCAAAAGCTTTGGAATCGTTCCTGACTTCTTTCATTCTGTTTTACACTATATCCCATCTATCAGCAAATCTTGTGTGTTCTACCCCTAGAATAAATCTGAAATCCAGTCA